AAGGCTTGACGGTCTCCCAGGTCAAGTCCGCGTCGTCCCGGCCAAAATGCCTGTAGGCCGTCATCTTCAAGAATCGGCCGCCGCCTCTTCTCTTGAGGTCGAGGTTGATGGTGATCATCCTCGGCCTGAAATCAAAGTTCTCCTTCACAATATTCATTATCTCCTTATCAGGGATCCTCCGGAGAAAGCGCCGCTTCCATGGACCCCCACCCGCCTTCGGTGTCGATGATGATCTTTCGGCCGGTGAGGCCAGCGTCGCCCTGGGGCTCGCCAATCACAAATCGCCCAGAGGGGTTCAGGTGGAAGATGGTCTTCTCGTCAAGGTACTGGGTGGGGATTACCGGCTTGATGACGTGCTCCTTGAGGGACCACAACCCAATCCAACACAAACTCAAACTCTACGATCTGCTTCATGTATCGCCGGCGAGCTTTGCAATAGGAGACCGATTCTTGGCTCTCGAGGAATTTTGAGTTGCAGCAGCCCATTTCAACCTTTTGAGCTTGATTTGTCCTCCGAAAGGGAAGTATGGGTTGGGGCGGGGCGAAGTTTGGAGAGGAGAGAGTAGGGGGAGGAGTTGGACAGAGTTGTTGGCGTTTTTTGGGAGGACTGCACGGGACTACTAGTCCCGTGCAGTTCCAGAACTGCTAAATCAACCATTTTCAGTAAAAAGGATCGATTTTGCTAAATTTTTTTTAACATGGTCGATTTTACTTATTAATTTTGAAAGATGGACGTTTTTAAAATTTTGTCCTATTGTAAAACTTCAGATTGTGATGGCTTGAAAATTCGAGTTTTGGTAGATATTAAAACATCGTTTGGTTTCGTACTTGAGCTTTTATGTGCCATAGATGTTAACAGACTGAAACTTGTTCATGTATGAAACATGACACCATTAATAGTGTAAGCAATGTTTGGACCTGAAACTCTACAAGTCATACCTTAAAAATATTAGCAGGTCGTCCTAAGTTTATGTAGCCTCTCCATAGGCGCAAAGCCAAATAAGAGAAATACAATATTGTACATGCTTGCTTAGATGCTATTCAACTTATGTAGGCCTTATGTGTGACCCATTTACACTAATCAAATGCGTCTTATACTCTGACTGCATCCAGCTCAAGCTCTATGAATTTGATTCATCAAACACTAAGAGTGCTTGTAACATGCATCCTTCTAGTTGTTTTAATGCTGTAGCCAAGTTCCATATCACAAGATAAGTCATGGATAGAATTTTGATTAAGGTGGGCTCTTTCAAATAATTTTTTGTTAAGGATCATTACTTCGTTTTGTTCTGTATAAGCTAATCATGATTTAAAAATAAGCTGAGACATGCAGTCATCCTGATCCTAATTTCTGCCTAATTGGGTGCCAATACCTTTACCCTTGTTGGAATAATCTAGCTGTTAGAATGGCATGATATCAGCAGTAAAACTATAGAGGTGCGGCAACTGTCTATTAAGCCTATTTGAAATTTCACTTTTTTTCCTGCACTTTCTTCATTTGTGAGAAAAACATAAGGATAGATGGCATTAAAAGAACACTGAATGAAGACTTCACACATAATTTAATATTTCAAAAATTCAAAATTCTATTTGGCATAATCATCCTCTTAACCACATATGGGCATGTGTTCTAAGATATAAATCTGCATTTTTTGCTTTTAATTTAGGTTTAAGCACCAAGAAGTTTGTTTTTTGGTAATTCTACATCATTATATATAGCTATACTATGTCTAGACACAATTTTATGTGTAGAGTATAAGTCCCATTCATGTTTTAAAGTTTATTTTGAAATAATTAGTCAATCAATTAAGTTGAATTTCTTGTACCTTCATTTGCAGAAATACATGACTGATCGTACATTCAGAAAGCTACCTGATCATCTTCTAACAGAAATTTTTGTTCGAGTCCCTATTTGTGAGTGGGCTCAGATAGCATGTGTCAGTAAGCAGTGGGCTACTATTTTTCGAGGCGAATGCTTGTGGCACACTGCTATTGCCAGGACGTGGCCTTCAGCAAGCCACAAGAAACGCTGGCCTGGGCCAATACCAAGAGGTTTGGGTAAAAGGTGTGTATTTTCACCAGTTATTCTTTGGTTTTTTTTGGGTTTTTGTCTTAAACCCTCAAATCTTCGTTAATTCTTTATTAGACCTCAAATCTTCGCATTTCTAAATCAGACCCACAAATCTTCATATTTGTTCAAATGGGGGTCTTATTAAAACGACTTAATTGATTTGAGGGTCTTATTTGAAACAACTTAACAGATTTGGGGGTCTTATTTAAAACATAATGGATTTGGGGGTATAATTTAGGAATATGAAGATTTGAAGGTCTAATATACAAAAACCATTTTTCAGCTAATTTTTTATGTACCTTCAATTGCATCTTTGGATTATGTTTATGTTTGTGCTGTCTTGTTGGCTTCAAATTTACTGCACTACTTAGATATACATGCTTGATAAGAATAGTACTATCAATTTATCTAGTAGTTTTGCATAAAGAGCAAGTTGCCATTGTAGAACACTCTAGTATTTTGCAATTAGGTGGAAGACATGAGGTTCAAAGTCCACTCTCAAAGTATTTGCTACTTGCTGGTTCTGCAAGCCTATTTGATAGCAAAAGATGAGTTGTGAGAAGACATGAAAAATTTCAAGATGTCTGAGTCCTGTTTTCACTTATCTTGTTCAAGAAATAGCTGTCTACAGCTCTAGCTGTCTATACGAAGCTTTGTTTCTCTCAATTTTTTTTATGTTTCTTATCTTTTCCCCTTCCTATATATTTTTTCAATAATCAATATTGATATTATTTAGCTTAGTTCTCAACACTTTATTGATGATTTGAAGCATAGGATGTCTAACAAGAAAATTGTTTAGAGGGATTTTTCAACCTCTCAAGTTACACTCAATTTGCGAATATTCCCTGGAATCTCATAATCTAGTTAATAGATGAGGTGGGATGAGGATTTCAGGGAATATTCAGGGAAATATTTGCCAATTCAATCCCTTTTCTTTATTTTTTTCCTTTGCTTTATATTTCCAAGCTAGCGTTGTAGTTTGTGGTTACTTGAGTTGAAATGCATAGAAAAGTTTGATTTTTTTTCTTTTTCCGATTACAAATTTAAGAAGAGAAAGTTGAGGTATTGGTTATGCAGTTAACTAAACAGGATTCAAATGCTATCCCTGAAATTAATGTTTTAATTCTACATTTTCAGGAGGTACTTGGCTTTATATGTGAGTCAACACATTATAGCTTTGGATGGTGAGGTTGATGAGCTTTTGGGTCACACTTATTTGTTTCTGAAGGAGCACCTCGAGCTTTCAACTTTGCCCCCACCTTCTAGCATACTTCATGGCACCATAATTGGTAGGTCTTTTGATAGTTCGTAGGGAAGAATGATGTTTTGTGCATTCTATTATGCTATTTTTGTTCTTTCAATTCTTTTCCTCTAGTCTCTGTAGTAGTGCAATGGCACAACAAAATAAAATCTTTTCTGAAACAACATTATTCATACTTTTTATTAATATTGAATTAATGTTAATTTTTAAAATGGTTCATGCTGTCCCTTTTTTTTGGACATTGTGGATATGGCCTGAATGAATTCTTAAAGCATGCATGTTATAATGATTCTCAGTAACTATAGCATAAATTTATGGTTAAAAGAGCATGATATTTTGGATACTGTGAAATATTTTCGAGTTATATAAATCAACCATTGCGTGAGTAATCATAATTCCTAATTAAAAAAACAAGGAAACTTACATAAATGCGATTAGTAATGAAATAGATTTGTGAACACTAATCATCACATTTAATGTTTAGCCTTACTCTTGCATATGTTCTAATACTGTATGGATACATCTCCATCGGGATATCTGTGTTGCATAGCTGAAGAACCCACCCCAATTTGTTGTTACTTCTTTTTTTTTCTTTTTCTTTTTTCTTTCTTTTGCTCGAAGTCTTATTTGATACTATAGCAGTGAGTATTGAGATGTTTTTCTGTTTTTCTTTGTTGTTACATGTAAATGACATAATTTTCACAAGTAATCACTGACCATTGTTTTCTTCAAGCAGATCAGTTTATAGCTTGTGGGAAACCCCAAGAAAAGGCCCATGAGCTTGCTTCACTCATCTGGTTGGCTGTAATCAACAATATGGAAGAAAATGAAAACACATTTTTGGTTCTCAAGCGTCTAGCTCAGGAGGGAGAAGTAAGCACTAGAATTCACCGTGTCTTTTAGTAACATATATAACATCTAGGTTGCTCTACATGCTTTTGATGAAACTCCATAGGTCTGTTTTCAATTTGTTTATTTGACCTAGATTTTACACTATGCTTGGAAAATGTTTTGAAGAAGAACGAATGCAAGTTTGTTTTCTCCCTACCAATTTGCAGAAGAGAATGTGTATTTCCTATCTCAATGTGCTACATGCATTACTAGTAACTAGTATGGTAGTATTTTCAGACGGGCAATTATCTATATGGGGTTAGTGCACTATACTTTTCTTTGGTCAAATCCCACATCATTTAGCTTCTTTGTTGTTTCAAAATTCTTTGAACTGCCAAAATTTTCTTTCCAAGTGGATGTGAAATACTGGGTTGATGATACAAACTGGCAAATCAATATGGTTGAGTAACTTAACAATTCATAGAGAATTACCTGTAGATGTTAGTGTGTAAAAGTGTTGGGTGCCGACTCACACTCCAAGTTGGATCTAGATTTGAAGGCTAGGCTCAGTCCTAGTAGCTTTCTTAGAGGCCAAGTTGACTTGTTGGACATATCAAGGGTGTCTTTAAACAAGGTATCCTATTCTAGAGTTTTTTAGTAGAGAGGGAGAGATACAATATTTTTGTAATCAGGATTTAACAGAGGGTGTAACCAGGTTCAAGGGTATTGTGAGAGAGAGGGTTTGGCAGTCTTTGTCTGTCCAAAAGATTACAATTTGGAGGTGATAGTGGATTATTTTCGATCCCGTGGTTTTTCTTTATCGAGGGTTTTCCACGTTAAATATTGTGTATGATTCTATTTGATGCGTTTGGTGATTTTTGGGGTTTTTGCGAGATCTAAAAATCCCAACAAAAAATTGCTATGATCGTATAATGTGGAGTATGGACAGTAATAAAATATTATATAATATGAACTAAACAATCCCTTCTTGTCATACGTGGATTTACCTTTTTTTTTTTTTTTGGGTTATTCAGTATTAGTCTCTTAAATCATTCATATTTTAAAATTAGTCCCTCCAATCAAGAGTAGAAATAACAAGCAAGAGTAGAAATAACAAGCAAGAGGGACTAAATTGTAACAACTTATGAGAATTGGGGAACCTAATAGCAATTTCACTATTTTTAGAGACTAATTTCAAAATAACCTAATAATTGGGGGTCTTATAGAAATTCCAATGATTTGAGGGACTAATTTCGAAATATGAAAGATATAAGGGACTAATATCTTTAAGTTTTCACTTGACTATTGTGGATCTCTTCATTTTCCTTTATTTTCTTCTTTTTTCTTCTTTTTTTTTTCTTTTTTTTTTCTTTTTGTATTTGTGAAGTGGGTATTTTGTGGGACATCCATAGAAAAAAAACTGTACTGTATCTTTTGAGTGAATAAGATGCACAGTTCTTTCAAGCATGCAAACTGCACTAATCGTCATTCAAACTGTTCACTTTTAAGTGGGTAATCAAGTATATAAACGTTACTTTTTTTTGCAGTTCTTTCTTCCATTCCCATACTCAAGACCATACCAAGTCCTATGGAGGGTTTTTGAAAAGCTCTTCACAGATTTCCGCGACTGCTTCAAGCATAGGGATTACTTTGATATATTGGCCTGTGCAAAGTCCAGGTTCCAGCCAATACCATCTACTTGGTTGGGTTACTAAGACCATATCATAGAAGACAGAAGCATTAGCCTTGTCAGTTTGTTTTTAATGTTATATAGTCATGATGTATACGGATATGGTTGTGGTCCCTAACAATATAGTTATACTTCCAACATACAGCATGTACCTTGCAAGTTTGAAACAATGTGATCCTTCATCTGTCAATGATATATAGACATAAAAATTAACGAGTAGCAATTGCTCTTATCATTATGATTGATTGCTTCTGTGATCATGCTTCTGTAATTTGATTATTTAATGTGGTTATCGACTTCTATTTGTGCTCATCTCATCGGAGCTTACATTTGTTGAGTTCTCTTCCATCATGTTCAGATCACAGGGGGTGATCAGCAAAGGCGCAAATAATGTGGTTGAGGAAATTGAAATAGCTGGAAAATATAGCCATATTGTTTCTATAGATTGTTCTTGAATTGCCATTGATGTTACTGAGGAAAGCAACAGAAAGTCGCATCATCTATTCCTTTGTTGCTATGTATTTGCTAACTGATTGTGTGAGATTAGTACCTTTCCTACTGGAATAAGATCAGCCTCTGAAGAAGATTCACATGAGGAATACATTGAAGCTAAGCCAAATGAAACACAAGTTCATAAATTTTGTTGTTTATTGAAATTTGACCGTCTTGGATAAAGCCCATCTAGGCCAAAAGAATAAATACAAGCTTTAATCAACATAAGCAAACAGTACACGAGTATAACACAAAAAGGAGATGACTGATACTTTTGTAATTCTTGTTCTTTAACCACTGTTCTATCCAACTCGAAACCTGGTTCCATCTGCATTTTCAGTAAGTCGCAATCTTATTGCGCCAGCAGGACTCTTGAACAACTCATGAGATTTTATTGCCGGTATGGATTATTTGTGAGTTAAGACGGTGCTCATTTGATACACAACTCAGTGAGCACAAAGCTCTTTCTGGATATACAGGCCACTTTCAAAATCTTTGAATTCCTGAGATAGCTTGAAGGTAACCTCAGAGTAGTTGATCAACGTGAAAGCCCGACTCTGGTTGAATTTCCTTCACTTTCATAGTATCTTGGAAAGAATGGAGTCTCTTCTTCAACCTGAAGGAGCAAGGAAAAACTTCAGGTACCAATTAACCTGTCGAAATCTTCCAACCGTAATGAAACGAAAGCAATAACAATAGTCGCTCAAATGTACCCGACATTATGCCAAACTGAACTCTCAGCAAGCATCAGAAAGGACCATGAAGAAACACAGAGCCGACAAAAAAATTAACAATAGTTTGTGAATGATACATGAATGACATATGAATAGTGTCTTGTGAACAGTAGGTAGAGAACATAGATGTCTGAAATATTTGGGAGAACTTTTAAAAAAGACCCTTTTTGAAACTTTATTACCAAAATCGACCTAATTTTCAAATAATTAGCAAAACCGACCTAGCCAAAAGAGGTTGATTTTACAAAAATAAAGCTTTAAAATACACGGGACTACTAGTATCGAAATACACGGGGCTACTAGTCCCGTGTATTTAGTGGTGCCTAAATACACCCTAATAAAGTTTAATTAGTGTCATGTATTTTTTAAATTTAATTAGCATGTGATTAGCCAACACTAATTACGCGGGACTGCTAGTCCTGTATATTTTAAAAACTATATTTTGCAAAATCGATAAAAGTGGTTAATTTTGCTAATTAAATCCACAAAAAGGTCGATTTTGCTAATAAAGTTTCAAAAACGGTCCTTTTAATAAAAAAAATCCAAAATTCGTGAAGCTATGTACTTGTGAACAGTAGTCAGAGAACATAGATGCTATCACTGGAAAATATTTAGAGAACCGTGGATTAATACAAATGGGGGTTAATTGCACATGGACCCCCCTTAAGTATCTGCAAATTGAACTTATTACCCTATAGTTTTATTTTTGCAGTTAGACCTCTTGGGTTAATTTTTTGACTCTTTTCCCCTTGGTGAAATTTTGGCATATAACCAATGTGAAATTAGCGAGTCTATCTCAGGGTAAAATAGTCAAAAAAATTCATCCGGGTCTATCTACTAAAACGAAAATAGATGCTATTAAGTTAGAATGACAATACTAAAGGGGGTCTGCGCAATTAACCCAAAGCAAATTACCTTACATGTGTTCATAATATGTCAATAATTGGTGTATATCCTTCTAGCTTCATCTCCTCAAGCATGAGGTCAATCACCCAATTAAGATCCAGAGTTTCAGGATGCAATCTGTCACCAGCATGAAAATCGTAGGCTTGGCCATCAATCTCAATCCAACTACAACCAGGAGTTTTGCTCACACCTCTTTCCTTCATCAACCCTCTCATCCTCGCTGCATCCTCCAACCTATTAGAATTCACATATATCTTTGAAGAAATCACATAATTCCCTGAATTCAAAGGTTCCAATTCCAAAATCTTCCTCATAACCTTCTCTCCAATCTCAACATTCTTAGAATTCCGACAAGCATTTAAGAGAGCCCCTAACAAAACCGCATCAAGTTCCTCTGGCATACTCTCGATGAACTCCCAGGCTTCCTCCACCTTTCCAGCTCGAGCTAAGAGATCAACCATACAAGAGTAATGTTCAATTCTTGGGACTATTCCAAATTTGGTTTCCATAAGATTGAACCACTGGCGACCTTCATCGACTAGTCCAGTGTGAACACAAGCTGATAGAAGTCCGACAAATGTGATATCATTGGGAGTAACTTCTTTCTCATCCAACATGCGATGAAATAATTCAATCGCTTCTTGGCCATGACCATGAGAGGCCATGGCTGAGATCATGGCATTCCAGGAAACTACGTTTTTGTGAAGCATTGGTTGGAAAATCTTGATGGCACGATCAAGGTTTCCACACTTGGCATACATGTCGACAAGAGCTGTGCTTATGTAGACATTGCGATTGATAAGGCCTTTTCTTGAGGCGAAATCATCGACCCATGAGCCCAATTTGAGGGCTCCGACTGACGCACAGGCTGAGAGCACTGCTGCTATTGTGTACTTGTCTGGTTCTGTTGTTGATTCTCTCATGGCATTGAATAGCTTGATGGCTTCCTCTGGCTGACCGTTCTGTGCATACCTGTTCAATTCTGGAAACCAAATTATAAGTCCAAACCTGTGGCTTTGGAAATCCAATCATCATATAGATTCATGATTCTTAAGAAAGATCAGTTCTTGTTCTCAATTATGATTCTACGTAGAGAAGTCAATAGCTGTAAGATTATAAAAAATAAGCACATTAATTGTTGAGCAAATTCGTAAGAAAGCATACACTAGCTAGATGCAGCATTTTCAAGTTGCTTCAGAGAAAGGCATACTGGAAAGAGGTTTTAAAATATTTAGAAGGGACTGCAAATTCATTTGTATTACAGCAACAATACTATATAAATTATGTAACGTTTTGTGTATATATCAGAAATATCTATAATGATATTGCCTATGGAAGTCTAACTCTCAAGAATTTGGGTAATGACAAACTCAAAAACACTAAAATATCATATCCACATATCATTTAAACTGTTTAAAGAGTATATAACTTGAAGAAGAATAAAAACCGGAGTATGATAACTTTGTACTTGCCCTGTAATCATCGAGTTCCAAACAGCCAACTCCCTCTTCTTCATCCCATCAAAAACCCTTCTTGCAGAAACCAAATCTCCGCACTTTCCATACATATTAACCAATGCAGAACCCACAAACGACTCAACCTCCATCCCTCTCTCCTCCACCAACATCTCCAACTTCCTCCCCATCTCTTTATCCACCAAATCCCCGCATGCTTTTAAAACACTCGCCAAAGTCCTCTCACACGGCTCAAACCCTTCATCCTTCATCTCCTCAAACAACTCCACAGCCTCTTTCGAAAACCCCATCCCTGAACACCCAGAGATCATTGAATTCCAAGAAACCAAATCCTTATCAGGAATTTCATCAAACACCTTGCGTGAACATCCTAACTCTCCGCATTTCAAGTACATTGTAATCAAACAATGACTTGTATGCTCATCCAAATCCAAACCCAACTTAAATACTGACCCGTGAATGGTTCGACCTAGGTTTAAGGATCGTAGGCCTCCGATTGCTTTGAGGACAAATGGGTATGTGTATTTATCGGTTTTTTCACCGGATTTGATCATTTTGAGGTAGAATTCAAGGGCGAGAGGGTGGTTTTCCCAAGTGGAGGTCAGGGCTCTGATCATGATGTTGTAGGAGAATTCATTGGGTTTGGGGATTTGGGAGAAGTGGAGGATGGAGTAATGGAAGTCTTGGAGGTGAATGAGCTTGGAGAGGAGATGATTGGGGTGATTGAGGGAGTTGATGAGGAGTTGGGTGTGGATTTGTTTGAGCGTTTTGAGGGAATTGCATTGTTTTAGAAGCGTGAGGATTTGGATTTGGGTTATTGGTTGAGGATTGAGAGATTTGTGTTTAAGTTTGGGGAGCTTTGATTTGAGCATTTGTTTTGAGTTGTGGCTTGTTCTCGGGTTTGGCGGGAGAGAGGAGCAGCATATATGTGGAGTTGGTAATTGGATCGGGTTTCTATCCGATTAATATTCGATCCGATCCGTATCTTATTATATCATAATCATGATCTTCTTTGCAAATTTTCGGTGGTACTCATTATGCTCTCATACTCTCTTAACTCATTAAAACCCTAATTAAATCCTTCATTTTCTCTCTCTTTTTCCCCCATTACTCTCACTTTCCTCTCTCCTCTCTCTCTCTCTCTCTCTAGTTATGATGTTTCTCCTATAATTTTTGTTGATTAATCTTGTCTTTGCATTAATTTTCTAATTTCAAAGATATTAGGTTCTTGTAAGAAAAAAAATTGTAAAGAGTCTCCTCGTGATACGTGAGAGTCCTAAGCAAGGTTGCTCGTCACTTATTAAAGATATACAACTCTGTTTGGCAACTATAAAAAGAAATTTGTGAATTCTGATTTTTCTTTAACGAGACCAAAGTTGGTCAAATAGAGGGTTGATCGAAAAGAAAATTGGTTTAAGAGTCATAATTTGAACTTAAAAAATTTGGTTCAATTTTCGCCTATTTTTTTCCAAACTAAGATCTAGGTTTTGTGGTCAAGATTATATCCACTAAAACTGATTTTGTGAAGTTGCCGAACAAAGCCCATATGCTTTGGGAACTTAGTTTAAAGTACTATAGATATGAAGGACCAGTTTTTTAAAATCCTTGATATTTAGGTGAATGATTTTCATATACACGAGACTCCGAGAAATATGTATACTTTTACTTATTTTTTCGCTGTAAAATCAAAGATAACTGAACAAGGAAAATTTTATTCTTATTTTATAGCTTTCTAACTTAGCTAAGACTCTCCTAAATTCTTCTCATATGTTTAATATATAAAGAAAACTAATAGTTTGGGGTATTAAAAAAATAAACGTATAACGGTCCAGGCAATTAGGCATCCTCCTCAAGTTTTGGTTGAAGGGTATTCTCTGTAATCCTTTATTCTAATGGACATTAATTAATGGGATTAGATCCAAGATTACCAACTTGATTAAGGAATCAAATTGTCTTGGTACTAAAACTTTAAAAATTCATACGGATCTAAATTGGTCCTTTTCCTTAAAAGTTACGTGTGAAGATTATCTACTTGTTGGGTAATTAAGAATTAATTCAAAGATTCTTGAGTACTCCAATTGGCAAGAAGATGATTAATGTGGAAGTGAGTACCCAATTCATGTCACATGTGGTTTGTATTGTGCTTTTTTAATAAAGAAAAAGTAAAATAATATATGTAATATAGAGGACTAATGGTGACTTTGAATAGTTTTGGTTTCTTTTGACGATGCTAATTGGACCTATAGATCACGGGTCAAACAAGAGGTATACAATATATACATCTTTATATTTTGTTTTTCATTTTTCTCTAATGATTGCCACATTTGTTTTCCTCCAAAATTCTGCTTTTTTTTATAGGTAAAATGTTATGATTTCATCCTCCACTAATTCTCAGCTCCAGCCGGAGTCACATTTCTAATTTATAGCTCTCTACTCGTAAGTTACAGATCTTATTAAATTTTCTCAAATTCTCTCTCACAAGTAACACCCTCTGATTACAAATTCTATAACTTTCAAAAAAAAATTGATAGTAAAATTTTATTGACGTATAACAATACGTATTTAAGAGTTTGGATTTGGTCAGAAACGACCACATGTAAGTAGCATAGCCGCTCTATACAAGTGACAAACATGGAGTAATTTTATAATTGCACCTTCTTATTGTATGGTACAGAACTGTCTGCTCGCATGTGGACAGTTTTGAGGTGACCTTTATATATTTACTTAATTGGAATCAAATCTTTAACAAAAATAAATCACTTAAATGCTTGACTAATGAATTACTAACTCCGAATCACACTTATTGCTTAGTGGTCCCTATTCGAATTATGTAAGGGCCATAATATTTTACCCAATCCATTTGTGAATCATAAGTTATATGTGAAGTTACATCATAAGTTACTCATTGGTCCTCAATTCACAATTCATTTCTAGCATCATTCCCCCGTTAGAAAAAGGAAAATCCACACTCTAGATTCTAAAGCCTAGACGCATATTTTTTTCAATGTACCACTTAACACTGTCACAGTATTAAAACCATGATTTCTTATGAAGAAGGTCTTTTCGTAAAATTGACAATGTTGTAGGGCCCATTTTGGAGACGCGCGTAACACAAAGTCATGAGACAAAGCTGTATTAGTATACGAACCCGAATCTTTTCCATCTTTTGCTTTTCCACAGGCCACAGCCGATTGAAATTTTTACTTTTTAGCTTTAAAAAAATTTATCATTTACCCCTCCTTTTTAGCAGAAACAATAATTCGTAGCACCATTAGATCAAAACCAGTACAAAATTAGAGGTCAAGGGTGTTATTATATTTACCATCAAGGGTAATTTTGGATAATAATCAATTGGGGGTCACAGTTTCAGAGTACCTAGTACGTTTCAGTGTGAGTCTCATACACTATGCGCCAATTAATTGGATGGTCCCAATCACGGTCAATTTCAACCGTCCAGTTAAAGATTATATATATTGTTTTCGATTCAGAAGCTGACAACGTTAACTCTGTGTAGGGGGGACTCACACAGTACAGTACAGAATAGGTATTTTCGTAATATTTTTGAAGTTCAAGGGTATTTTGTCTGTCAGACACATTCTTCTCTTCTCTCTGTTTTCTCTCCTCTCTCATTCCTTTCTGCTGCTGAAATATTTGACCGTTGCCTCTCTCTGTTTCTCTCTCCGATACAACTGAGGTAAGTTTTTAATTTGCTTTACCGTTAAAATTTTTGATCTTTTTAAGATTTGTAGTGGACTCCTTCGAGAATTAAGACTAAAGGTCTAATTTTTGAACATCTTTGGGTGGCCATTCCTGCGAACAGATTAGGAGCTGCTCTGCTGGGTCTTTATTTTAGTTTTTTTTTTTGGTAATTTTTGGAGATTTAAGAGTTGGGTCTCTCTGATTTTCTTTCCTATAATTTTATTCTGATTCCAATTTTTTTAAGTAAGCCACAGTAACTCCGGCAGTTCGATGTAATGAGCAAATGGTTCATAAAGTTGTGTCCTTTTTTTTTATCTCATTGACGCTCAATCCCATCACGCTCAACTTTTACTTTTTATCTAGATTTTTTTTTAAAATATGAATGCTTTAGCAGTAGATTGGTTCTCGTGTATATCCATTAGCTAAGAATTCCATCTTGTTTGTTTTTTTAGTTTATTTAAAATTGGAAGGATCTGTTGTTAGAAATTGACAGTAATAGTGGTTTCTCAAAATAAGCTCTTTTGGATAGTTGGGCTGGGAAATTTCCTTTTGTGTTTCTCATATGTTAGCCTTCTCTTTCCTTTCTATCCTAAGAGCCAGGTAAGAATTGATTTACTTATTTTACTGGGGAAATTTGTTTCCAATCTTGTTTTATTTTACAGAAAACAAAATTATTTCACTGTTTACTCTAGAATGAAACATATAAGTTAATCTTTTGTTTGTTTTTCTTCTTGATTATCTAGAAATTTTCCTCCTAGATTTATTAATAATTTTATCAACGATCAGGAAAAAGGTGTAGATATATTTTTAAGAATCGTGACATAGACTTGTTCATTTATATAGGGATGGTTAATCCTCAATTTCCCTTTTGTATCTATACATTTTTTTTCTTAGTCAAATGTAAACTGTACTGTAAGATTTCATTCATCCTGGATATTACCATTGGTTTCTATTACCTTCTCATTTCTCCATTAATTCCTGCTTTGACCATTGTAAAAAAATTGAGGTATTACACATTTTTTTTCCCATTTCCATATGATAGAAGTTTTTTTGTTTGTGTACAGGGATGGATAGGATTTCATAGCATATCTAAAAATTAAAAACAATTGCTTATGATTATAAATTTCATGGTTTTAATGTTTAGTTAATATGGTATTTGTTCTTTGGTTGCAAGTTGGTTCATAATTTTGGCATAATGGCTTCTCTTGTTGGCCTCATTCATCTCCTCTTTTTGTTCAAACCTCGCCGTGTAGCCTCCACTTGTCAAACCAACAAAGAATAAAACAAAAAACACCGAAGAAAAAAATTCTGACATGTTCTTCAAAAAGACAAATCAGATTAGTTTTTTCTTGGCTTGTTGCTAAAACACCTGAACTGAAAGAGACCTAAGTTCTTTCTTTTCCTTTTATATATTTCAGTTTCTTGATGGTGGTTAAATTATGAAGAATTTGAGGTTTATAACAGTGTTCTTCTTCAAGTTCCAGTGATGAAGCCAAGGAAACCAAACAGGTTTCTTATAGCAGTAAGTATCTATCCATTTTCGAGTAATTGTTTCTTCTAAATTCTATTATTTATTTCACTTACAGTCTTGCATGAATCAGCTCTATAATATTCTATGAGTCTGATAGAAGATCAACATCAATTCTCTTCTAATTCTGGATTTGACTCAAGTCTGAAGTTCTCATAGAGAAAAGTTAAAAAGATATGGGGGGATGTTCTGCTTCCAAATTAGACAAAGAAGAGGTTGTTCAGCTCTGCAAAGATCGAAGAAACTTCATCAAACAAGCCGTTGATCATAGAACTCGCTTTGCCTCTGGCCACATTGCATATCTTCAGTCTCTAAAGAGAGTCTCCGTCGCTCTTCACAACTTTGTTGATGGACAAGAGCATCATGATTTCCTCTTGGATTCATACAATACTCCCCCTTTTAGCACACCTGTAAAGAGATTAAGCCCACAGATCATCAGTGTTCCTCTTAAATCCTTCACGCCAACACCACCAAAGCAATCGGCAAAGAGCACTGTCCATGTGATGAAGTACTTGAGATCGAATGCAAATCCATCGGTTTCAGTTGAAGAGAGGCCTCAACCAGCACAAACCGTAAGGATTGATTCATATTACCCTCCAAATCCATATAATATCGATGGTTTCTTTGCTATGGAAAGTTCTCAAGTGAGCCCATCATTCTATCCTTCGCCTTATCACAGACCAAATTACCCTCCGCCATCACCTCAAAATTCACAGTGGGATTTATTTTGGAACCCCTTCTCTTCAATGGATACTTATGGATACCCCTCTCGGTTAACCATTGAAGATGAGATGGCTAGGCTAAGGCAAGTAAGAGAAGAAGAAGGGATTCCGGATTTAGAAGAGGATGATGGAGAAGAGGAAGGACACATAGTAGGTGAAGAGGAGGAGGAGGAAGAAGAAGACACAGAAGAAGAATTTATAGAGGTCAATTTGAATGATAAGGCATCTAATAAGATTGATCCTCATCCCTCGACCGGGAATGCTCCTAATGAAAATGTTCCTAGAGCTAACGATATACATGAGATTAAAGGATTGCAGTCCCGGGGGTTAGGGAGTATTGAAGTGGCAAAAGAACAAAATGCCGTAGAGCTTGAGGTCACTAGAAGCAAGCAAGAGGTTATGAGGAATAGAGAGCCGGCAGAAGAAACTCCTGGATTTACTGTATATGTAAACCGAAGACATTCAAGTATGAGAGAGGTCATGAAGGAAATCAACGAGCAGTTTGTAAGGATTTGTGATTGTGCTCAGGAGGTTTCTACGATGTTAGAGGCAAGCAGAGCTCAGTACTCTTCGACATCAAGTGAAATCTCAGGTACTCAATTCTAAGATAGGAATTTTTTTTACTAAATATAGTAATTATAAAATAGAAATCACGAGCTTGTGGCCTCTGTATATGAACGTTTGAGATCAATCTTAATATTGCATCCTTTTAGTTTAGGTATCCAATTACTGTCAAGACTTTTTGATGGTTGGTATTGTGATGATTGATACCTATATTGGATAACTAGTAGTGTGTACAATACGTTACTTAATAGAAATTGCTGAACATGACAGGATGATAGTCCTTCATCATAATTTCCAAAAATACTATATCAAACCTAAAATACTATATCAAAATGGATATTTCTTCAATATGGATAACTTTCTGTGGGATGTACAGTCCTTCATCATAATTTCCAAAATACTATATCAAACCTAAAACTAGTGACTGGTAGTAAAACATCGATTTTCCTGTTGAGACAACTCAATCCTTGAAGTTTTTTTTCGATATATTTTTGTATGGAGTTACTTCATAATGTCTTAAACTTATTAATAACAGAACTTTACTAATGACTTCCCGCTTCGTGCAGCTAGCCGAATGTTGAACCCAGTCACTTTATTCCACTCAGCATCATCACGATCGACATCTTCCAGGTCCTTTCTTGCTTCATCCAGTTCAAGAGATGATTCCTATGAAAGCAGTAGCGATTACTCTGAAGAATCCAGTATGGAATCAGGAAGTCACCAGTCTACGCTAGATAGATTATATGCATGGGAAAAGAAATTATACCAGGAAGTGAAGGTAAAACTTTGATAAATAGGTCAATAATACCTGAATTGTATGTGAGATGTGACATAATAATATGGTTTATTGTCAGTCTGGAGAACGCATAAGAATGGCATATGAGAAGAAATGCAAACAACTAAGGAATCAGGATGTCACCGGAGAAGAGCCTTCATCAGTTCATAAAACAAGAGCTGCTGCAAGAGATCTCTATACAAAGCTCAAAGTTTCTGTGCAAACAGTTGAATCCATATCAAAGAGGATTGATGCTCTGAGAGATGAAGAGTTGCATCCACAACTCAGGGAGTTGATACAAGGGTATGTTTCTAATTTCAATGGCTTAGTAGTTTCATATTGGTAAAATAGTAGTCATAAGCACATCTTATACTAATTTTAGGCTTACACCATTTCATCTATGTTAGAATATGATAATATAACCCTCAATCCTCAACATAACTTTGAAGTTTTGATGCAATTGATTGGGGGCTTTAAGATGGTATCAGAGTAGCCCAAGTCCAAATGCCATCGGCCACGAGTTTAAGCAAATTTCCTAAAAATTGGCACCCCTGCGTGATTCCAGGTTTTGGCCCATAAAATAGGCTGTAAAACTGCAGGGGCATGTTAGAATATAAAAATACGACCCTCAACCCTCACCATAACTTCGCAGTTTTGCTGCAATTGGTTAGACACTTTTAAGAATCTTCACATTCCAAATACCCTGTGTGCACAACAAATAAAGACATAATGATTGACACTCTTTAGATTATTCAGCAGAAACTTTTGGATATTAAATATAGAAAAACCTGGAGTACGGTAATATAAATACAAACATTATTAAACTTTAGATAGTTAAATATAATTAAGTCTACACTATGATATTAATCAAATTAATCAAGTACAGGAAGAAGAAGAAGAGACAAAGTAAGTCATCGTTATTGTCTTCATGCTTATGATTCTGTTGAGCAACTTCCAAACAATAGAGACAAAGAAAATCACTACACTACAAACAAACAATTAATCAAAGTTTAAACAATAGAAAAGAAAGAACTAAAGCAAAACAGAAAAATAAAGCAAAAAGCAGGGAAAAGCGAGTGACAAGTCTTATAGTTAAGTCATTGCTGCTGGTTGCCCTTTGAAGGCGCATTCTGGTCTTTCTTTCCCTTGGAATTATCCCTTTAAAACAAACTAACCATTAAAATTAACACACGCTAAAATGTAGTCTTTTTTAGTTATTAGTCCCTTAAATCTTTCTTGTTTTAAAGCTAGTCCTTCTTTATATCCTCAGTTCGTATAATTACTTCAAATTAGTCCTCCTTTTGTTTTTCCGGCCAATTTCTTAACTCTGATTGGATTAGTGATTAACCCAAACATGAGAGATTATCATTTTGCCTTCACTTCATGCCTCATCACAAATTTCTCTCAATTTCTCTTATGGATTTTGATTTGGATGTAAATTTTTAAAAAAGTGTATAACTGGAAACCCAGGTCAAAAAGTTAAGTTTAATGGAATATTTCTTCCGACCCACAAAACAATTTCACGAACCGGGGACTAAGTGGAAATTTCAATGATCCGAGGGACTAATTTGAAAATATGGAAGATTTTAAAAAGCATATAACACCTTTTTGATAAACTGACCTCTATTTCAAAGGAAAAACGGGAAACAAATCGACACTCTATTTAAGAAAATTAGCTGCCAAGAGATAAAAGAGTTTGTGAGCCCTATGCTAATCACATCAGTATAAGATGGGCTCACAAGTAAGTAGTTTGGCAGCTCATTTTTTAAAAGCATATAAAATGAGTGCTGCTACGGGGACCTAAAATATGGGATCAAGGGAGGGGACATGTGAGGTGTCCTCTCCCTATTGCATAATGAGTTGGCATGAGTTGGCATGACCAACTCATTATGCAATAGGAGGGGACACCTCACTTGTCCCCTCCCTTGGTCCCATATTTTGGGTCCTTAAATCATTTTCCATATAAAATAAACTCTTATATAGCCTATATCCAGTAACCCTCTATTTCAAATATAAGTTGTTATGTTTCCCTCCCGCCGGTGCAGGTTAGCAAGGATGTGGAGAACAATGGCGGACTGCCACCAGATTCAAAAGCGCGCAATCGACGAAGCCAAGGTCCTCCATTATGCTCGCACGTCATTCCCACCGCCACGAAACAATCCGAAACTTCCCCACCGAAACCTCCCCGAATCTGCCACGACCTCGAATCGGAGCTTCGCCGGCTGCGCGCTCCTCCTTCGCCTCCTGGATCTCCTCCCAGCGCTCCTACGCCCAAACCCTCGCCTCCTGGGCCCACCTCTGCGCGGCCGCCATCAAAGACACCGGCATTGCCTCCCGGGCCCCCGTGTTCGACCTCTGCGGCCGTTGGCCCAACATGTGGACGCCGTCAGCGAGGCTCAGGCGATCGACGGGCTCGCATTTCTTCGCTGCCGGGAATCGGATCCGTGTATCGAGTTGGAGAAGAGAAGGACGAGGATGCGACGCCAAAGATGACGGAGGATAAGACGGCGGAGTTGGCGGGAATGGGGTTCTGTGTGCGGGGATGTCGGTGGCCGTCGGGAGTTTGACGGAGTTCGCCGTTAAGTTGGCGGAGGGGTATGAGGGTTTGGGGGGTGGAGATGTGACTATGTAAGTAGTGAACGATCAATATTTCATTTGGTTTGAGCTTTTTTGACCCTTGGAAGAGAGAGAATATGGTTTTGAGAGATTTTGGAGTAGATGATGTAGTGTATAAAATGTTTTCTTTTTTTTTTTTCTTAATATACTGATTTAGCGTTTCAAAAGTTATTTTGTTTGCGTTTAGGTTAGTTGGGAAGTTAGTTTAACAGTATGTTCTTGCCAATTACAGAAAAGTAAAATCTTGCGGGTTTTACTGCATGGGTTTTCCATTGTTATTGGTTGAAGTGGATTGTTTAGTGTTGTGCTTTTAGAATTTATAGTTGCTTCGTGTGTTTATGCGTGCATGTATATATACGCGTGTGTGCGTGGGCGCGCGTGTCATTTGAACCCGGTTGAGAAACTACACCAACGAATTAAGCTCAATCATATCAGCATAATGCTCAGCTGTTTGATTTGGTCAACGAATTAAACAATGAAACGAGAAAAAAAAATTATGAAAAAACATCAAGAAATTCAGCCAAAAAAAGTACCACAAATTAACAAACTTCTATACGCTTAGCGCATAATTATAAGGCCTCTGCAATTACTAGGGAGATACAAGCTAACGTACCCCCAGAACAATATTTGCAAAAAAGAAAAAAGAAAAAAGAAAAAAGAAAAAGAAAAAACTAAAGCTTCAATGTTTTGTCCCGACAAATCGGACCGTCGCAAAAGTGCAGCAAGAGCCGCTGGTCGACACAAGCATTGTGAAAACTATGGCTGCGTTTGGGCAGCACCCTGACCTTGCATCTCCAGAGAAAAAAAAGAGTAAAGAAAGAAACATAGATGTCTGCGGTTTTAAAGCAGCTGCCATAAAAAATATACAACAAGAAAATTGCACGTGAGAGATACTGAGATCAGATGCAACATGCTACCATACTGATGAGTGATGGCCTGTCCATTGTTACATACAATTTAAGTGTTATTGAAATAAATCACATGTGGCCTATCTCAGTCTCTACTCAGTTACTCCTATAGATCTGCGTATCTGGACCCCTTCTTCCTGTCTCCGAGAACTCGTCAGGCAGAGGCACATTCAGCTCGGAGCAAACCAACTGAACTATTCTCCTCGTCACACCCCCTAAAGACATCTTATTCACAGTTACCGCAATCGAAAAATCATGCTCGACATCGCAAAATCCAGTCGAACCACCGATACCTGAATGCCCAAAACTCGTAATCCTACCATTCCCAGATTTGAATCTCCTAAATCCTAACCCAAAATAACCGCTCGGGAGCACCAAAGTACTATAATCTCCAAGCCCCATGAATGCATCATGAATCTTCGGGTTATTAAACATTTTACTTCCACCAGCATCGTCATTGCTGTCATCGATATTGACTTCAATAAGTCGATAGTCCCGATTCTCACTTTTTAAATTAAAGAAATCCTTGATACCTCTTCTTTTTTTCTCAGTTACGAGAGGAGGGAGTTTAGGAATGTGGGGGTTGCTGCCAAGAGGAGGTTTTGAGAGATTCGAGTGCGGCGGTGGAATTATTCCTCCCTTGGCGAGAGCGGCGTAGTATCGGGCGAGCGCACGTGCAGTTAAGTGCCCGTTGGCAGCGGGAATTATGGCACGACGAATGTTGAGGGTGTTAAAGAGGGCAGGGAGGCCTGTGGCAATTTGAACTATGTTTCCTTGCTTGAGGCTGTCGGGTAAGTCGGGCCTTGAGTTCATTTCCATGAGCTTTTCGAGATCGTCAGTGTCGATCGTTAGTGTTGCCAGTCGAGATTCCACACCTGATGACAATATCCAGAATTCAGTGATATTGTGTGCAATAATTAACCAAGAATTAGAATTGTGGGACAAAAAATTGAAAAACTGGCAACCATCACACATCTCAATTCGACTAGTTGACTTCCACTGTCACTAATGCTACTAGTACATACTCTTTCCTTGCAAATGGGATGTGCAGAGGATTTCGACATGATTGCATGAATTCGTTTATGATCATGATCAATTCAACAAGCTGCATTTAGGGTC